GAGAGGCCATGCTAATGACTATTAATATTGTGAAAATTGTTCAATTTTTTCTATTTTTCATACTGTATGAATAATTTTGTCTTTTCCTAATTTGCATAATTCTCCTATCAAATTTGTTATATTTAACCTATTGTTCTAAAAATTTAGTTTTATATTCATTTTTTGTACTTATTAACATATAAAAAAACTGGCATCATATGGGCATTAGAGTCTGAGAAATGGATAAAAATATTCAAAATTGATGGGTGTACTAATAATTTTGTCGTTAACTGTATATATATATATATATATATATATATATATATATATATATATACATAATGTAAAACATTACATAATGTAAAAATGTTTATCTATTTGGGTTCTTATTGAAAAAATGCATACATATTTAGGGTCTTTTTACAAACATTATCATTCCCCCTCACCAACCCATTTCCTTCAGTATAATATCTACATGAGTGGGCGTTGGTGAATTTCTATGAGTAATTTACCTTAAGTTTGTTTATATAAACAAAAGTCAAAAAAAAAAAAAAGAAAGAAAAAATGCTGTCATTTTGTTTTCTCAGTAGCTGACTAAGCAAACTTTGTGAGTATTGTGTTAGTTTGTTATTACATTTTTCAAATTATTCACTGTTATCTATTATAACACTTACCTGCATATCTATCTGATGAAATCATTTCAAGTTTTTAATTGCTTGCTCTAGGAAGTAGATTACGGTTGCTAGTGATAGGTAAGGTAAGGAATTAGGTGGATAACACCCACCCAGTATCTGGGCAACTCATTCTGCTGAAATGGTTAACAAACTGGACCAGCAAATCAATGTTAGTCAGTTTGTTTCTCACTAAGTGCCTCATTTTTGAGCTTTTATGTCAAAACTGTACAATGTTTAATAAATAACTGTCTCCACCAAATGCCTTCACTCCAGATGAAGTAAACAGGTGGATCTCTCTTGTGGAATGTTAAAACTGTATTTGTATAAGCAATTAGCCCAGGAAGAATCTCACATTAAATTTTCAGTTTAAATACTATTTATAAATATTGATGTAGTTAAATAGTTAATCTGATTTATTAACTTAAAATAAAAGACATTTTTGTTTTTTTTAATTTTCAACTTTATTGAATAATATATTTATTCTTGTGCTTAATGTGGAAGCATGGTGGCATAATGGATAGTGGCTCAGGAATGAAAAATTGAACTGCTGAGTTCAAATTCCAGTCGAGTTTGTTACATCCACTTACGTGCAAATATCCTTGAGGATGATATGAATCCATCTCTTCTCTCCCCCAGCTATGGGTAAATAGCAGCACAGAATGGATCCTATATACTTGGTTTGCAACAAGCTCAAGAGAATGAAAGTTCTGAATTCAAACCAGCCTGGAGAGAGTTGGGTTTCATCAGATTATCTAAAACATACCACTGCTGCTATAGCTACAGTATATTTGTTGCTCCTATCACCATAATGGGTTATGGAAATCATGATTGTGAAGTGCCTAAAAGATGGAGGAATGTCTATTTTCTTTAAGGAAATTTTCTGACCTACCCTCCAAAATTACTAACACCACTCTGTTTATTAATTTTGCACTTTTTGACTCTTCAATGATTATCCAATCCTTGCTTTTATTAAAACCACCCATTTATTGCATATTGAGAAAAAAAATCCTCAATTATTAAGACTCCCTTTTGTATTAGGAACTTAAGAGTACTGTTTTGTTCTGCTATAATCTGCTAACTTTCAGGCAACTTCATTATTCCATCCTCTCATAAATTTTTTATCTTTCTCAGCAAAAAAATAAATTCTCATTGTCTTTTGCCATGTTCCAGCAATTCTTTTTCATGTAAAGAATTTCATAAAGACTAAAGTTGATAATAATCTTGAGGAGTAATCTGTTGAATTGATTGGCTGACTTCCCAGTTGTCTGATTTTCAAAGAAACATTTAATTTTGTTTATTTTATTTATTATTAATCCAGTAGCCATTAGTCCCAACATTGGCAAACAAGCAAATATAACAAAAAACATGAATAATCAAAACATTGAATTAACAAAGTATTTAAATCAGTGGAAGAGGCACATTACACACAAGTACAGTTACCATCTGCTCATCTAATCAAAATATATTTTGATAACCTTTTTAAGACATAGAGCCATAATTACCAACATCCTGAGGGGATGTGGGAAAATGAAGTGAAATCAATAAATAATAATAATAATAATAATAATGAATAATAAAAAATAGAAAAAGAAATTCATTTTCCCATGATGCTAAGAGTAAAGGAACTGTAAATATGATTACACCATTTGGTTCTCATTAAATGTCATTAGATGACGTTGAAGCCTATATAAAGGCAAACATTTCCTGCCTCGCTCTCTTTGCTGCAAAATGTGAACTACATTATGTTTTCACTGGGGAATTCCTCGGTCTTCTGATGACTGAACTCTTTTCCCACCTTCCAATGCATGGCACTCACACATTTCTTCTAAAAATCTCAATTTATAAAGTAAGTCGAGATTTCTCTTTGGTTGTTCCAACTCTGCCCAAGGCTGACTTGAGCATGACCATATTAACAATGATTATCTCAAATTACCCTAACTTCTGGACCAAGAAAAAAAATGAACCGACATCCCATAACCATGTTTAAAACTTCCAACAATGAAGTAAGTAGAAACTTTCCTTTGGTTGTTCAAACTCTGAACAAGGCTCACTTCAGCTCAACCATAAATACAATATTTATACTTACCTACTTTAACTTTTGGGCTAGAAAGAGAACAGTCATACCCAAGTGACATACAAAACTTTGTTTCAATAGAGTCATCATAGAATGAATAAACGTCCATAGTAGAAAATCATGTTTTTGTATGTTTATATCTTTGTTTACATATTGAACATGCATCTTGACCTAAAATATACATAAACATGCAAGCTTTCAATTTGAACAGCTCAGAAGAAGAGAGAAAGTTTGTAATTGACTACCAAGCGAGAGGGAAAGAAACTAGAAACTAGGAAAATAGAAATTAGAATTAGTTATACATTCAACATTTGAAGAGTTAATGAAACATAATAGCTAATTAATTAAAACCTATATTATAGAATCTATATGAATAAATGCAAAATTAGAGCAAATTATCCAATGAATTCTGGAGAAAGTAGAGTTTTTGGCTTAAAAAGCCAAAAACTCTACTTTATAGTAGATATTTACTTTGAGGCTGTCCAGCATTCACTGTCATATAGAAGGTTTAATATTACATTGTACCCTTTTTCTTATTTCTAATGAAATTCTTTCATTATTCCAATGTGTCTTTGGATTTCTGTGTAACATTTTCCAGCCACACTTAGAACGCTTCCCAGATATGTAAATGTTTGTATTTGTTTGTTTAGTCAATTTAAACTGCTATTGAATGCAAAATCGTTGTTGCTTACAGAATGTGATATTAACATCATGGGTTTTCTACTGTGTATTTTGTCTTTAATTTTCAGAAAAAAATTGATTGCTTGATTCATTTTCTATGGCTTGTCAACATTTTGCTGGTTATTTAAAGCCAAAAATATTTTTACATTGTAAGAATTTTTTTTTGGAGATAATAATGATTTACTGATACAAGTCCTGTTAATTAACCTATAGCTGGGGGTAAGTGTAGCTTTTCTAAGTGTATTTGCACATAAGTGAATATAACAAACCTAATTGGAATTGGAACTTAGCTATTTGATTTTCAATTCCAAGCTGTTATCCATTATACCATCCACATATTCCTGCTTACAGCATTTAGTTTTTCAGAAGAAAAATTCTGTGAACTTTTGTACATGTCTAATAAATTGATATATATATATATATATATATATATATAAAAAAAGAAAGAACAGTAAGATATAAAATCCAAGTTCTTATAGATATTTTATTTTTTACAAAATAGTGCTCAATGTAAATTTACAGAGCATTAATATTATAAATTAATTGATTTAAAATATGTTTTTTTTTCGCTACACAGTTCCAACCATGTTTCAAAAATAGAAGCTAAAAACCCCGAATTTAATTTTGCAATTAAATTAAAAGCATTAGTTCCATTTCATCTTCAAGCGAATTTTGGAGTAACTTTCAAAAATTACCGGGTTTTAAAGACACAGCTAAAATCACATTTCCATGGTTACAGAATATTCTACTTAAATTGAACAAGGGGTGTCTAGATTTTCCTTATGTCAGTATCATTGTATCAGCTATTAGCTACAATTTGGTAAGGGGTAGGGATGTATTTTACAATGAAATCTGACATCAGTTGAATGGAAAAAAAAATTGTTAACGGTAAAAAAATTTCAACGTCATTTTTTAAAATTACAGATTTTCGGGGTTTTTTTTTTTTTTTTTTTCCTAATACTTTTTATTTAACTACGATTTGAAATATTCTCCTTTTTAATTTTATTTTACTAAATTCTTTTTAAGAACAGTTAAATGTATATATATATATATATATATATATATATATATATATATATATATATGTTCATGTATAGTTGTATATATATATTTTATCCCTTTGTGTGTGTATATCAGTAAGTATAAATTTGTACATGGGAGGCAGTTAAATTTCTTTTTTAATTTGTATATATATATATTTTTATTATTATGTATATTTCTCTTTTTATATATGTTCTATTGAGCCTTTTAGATGCAAGTCTAAAGAAGATTGGGGCCCATTACCTATAACCTAAGGTGCATCATGGGAAGCTGAAGAAAATTGTAGAAGAAAGTAAAAAAAAAAAAACATTGATTTACAATACAGAAAAAGAATAATCAATGAAAAATAAAAGGTTTATGTTCTTAGCTCAACGTAGTAAAGGATGTAATTCTGTTCCTTTTAAAGGTCTCTGCATGATTGATAGCAATCCCCAAAGATGAAAATATCTGTTGGTATATTAAGAAACAAATCAACAGAAATACTAGTAGTAGCAGTAAACACACCAAATCCATTACTTGCTTTGAAACTAGCCAAAGCATACTAGGGCATATGACCATATAGCATTCAAACATTGGTTCCCATATGACCACCAAAGTTAAGCAATGTTGAGTCTGGCCAGTATCTAGATAGGTGAACGTTTGTGAATACTAGGTGCTGTAATTTGGATGTGAAGGTAGTGTAATGAAAATGGCTTGGAATTTTTAATCAGAGAGCTGAATTTCAGTTGGGTCCATTATATTCACTTATATGCAAATACTCTTGGGAAAGGTATGAATTTACCTCTTCTCCTGCTAGGTATGGGTTAATAAGCATGAATTGTATCACTAAATCATTACTATCACAAAAAAAAAAATCTGACTTTAAATAATCTGTAAAGGGTTAATAAACCGTAGAAAATGAATGAATCAATCAATGCTCGACGTTTCTTAACTTCAGTGATCATGCAGGATCTGATGTTTCTACATGATATGGTCTTAAGCTGCTTCCCTTTCAGTTTAAGTACAAGAATCCTATAAGATAATCAGATAATTTACAGTATCAGAGCCAAGATAAGAACCTCTTATAATTTACTATTTCATTACAATGCTAGCATAGTACCCATCAAAAATGAGGAGTTTATTTACATACAGATTAGTGCTTCTGCCTAGGATCACAGTGTAGGTGCACACAATCCTCTGCTAAGAGTTAGAATATGGTGTCTGTATACATTGCTTATGACAGTGTTACTTCCTGGTACTTCTGTCAGTGTATATTATCTGTGAACATTTTTTTAGATTAAAGTTTCATTCCATGACATTTCAGCCAAAAATAATAGTGTAGTACGTGTCCTAAATATATGGATACATATTTCATTTTGTGTTTTTTCTTCTATTCTAAAATTCACACAGTACAAGACTTGAGAGCAACTCATGGTTACTGCTAAGTTTGGACTTTTAGTGAAAATCTTCATAACTTTTTCCCTCATAAATCTTTAGAATTTCAAATAAGCAACTTGACATCAAAACTGTTCTATTTGTCTCTATTGGATGCTAAACAAGTAAGAGACATCATTGAATAACTAGCAGACTGTCACATTGGTAAGCCAAATATTCATGGAAGATTTGCCTGGAGAAAGCTGACAGAAATCAATGCTTCCAAATTGAACAGTGTTTTGGATTTGTCTTCTACTTTCAACTCTTGTAATATAAGATGCCCAGCAGTGGAATCAGATGACATTCTATTGTTGTGTATTTAGATAAATGAGCTACACAAGTAGTGATGTATAAACAATAAATAAATACTGACAAAATATGGAACACATCCAGGAACATTCAATCATAGAAGAGCAATCAATGGTCACTAACTCATAATAAAAGACAACAAATCTAATCTTTTTTACTTGTGATTCAGCTTTCTATAATTATTTCAATAATAATTCTGTGTATTCCTCCCTTCATATGTATGTTACATCCTGTTATTACCTTAGATAAATAATGGACCATTCCATTTTGATTGATAGAAAAAAATGAAAGGAAAAGAGATCAAAAAGGTTGTCTGGTTTTAGTGAGATAAAAAGCACATGTAATTATAAGAAAGAAAGAAAGAAGAAAAAGAACAGGAAGATATGGTATATAATAATGCTGTCAGATGCTTAATGTCTGCTAGAGTGAAATGGAAAACCTTTGTTAATTTTTTAATCTTTTCATTTGTGCCCATTTACTTCCTTAAATAATAACCTGTATTCATAATTATGATTGTTATTGCAATCTTTTGTTAAAGTTATTAAGCTCAAATATTTAATGATGCAATTGGGAAATTTCTATAAGTAAATGAAATAAAGGATTCAGTTTGAAATTCTTTAAAGTCTATTCAGATTGACAAGTACCTGAAGAAACCCAAAGAACACAATAGACAAAACATTGTGATAACAACAAAGATGAGGATAATAGTCCAAATGCAAATAATTTAATTTTATAGTCAGGGAAATTGCCAGCAAATAATAATAGTTTTAGTAGTAGTAGTAATAATAACAAACACTATCATAATTATTCAAATTAGGTTTTTGTATAATCTGGTCAGTAATACTTGATATATTACAGAACATAAAGGTCACAGTTGTACCAACATTGGAGCATGAGGAAAAATCCAAAAGAAAGCTGTTGGGTTTGTAAAATTCATCTGCTCCTCTATATAGAGATTGATCCTAGCAGTCATTCTACTGTCAAGTGGTGTTAAATCCTGTTCATATCCAATAGCTGACACAACTACACTACTTCTTTACCTATTGCATAACACTGAGTTAATTTCTACAAGTATATATGGCTGACTTCATTTTACAAGTAAGGAGAAACCATCTCATGTATTGATATTTCTAATTTTTTGGACTCCAGTTTAAAATTAACAGTTATATCCATAATCAGTGAATGGGAATACTAATCATCAAGAAAATTAGAAAAAGAACAATGAGTAACTATACAAAGGTTTTATCAAAAATGTTATTAAAAAGCTCAAACATATTGAAAAAGGAATTGGATCATGAAAGAAACTCATATTAATAATATTTAATGGTGTTTCTGGAAAATGCAAAATATTAGAGCATATCAAATATTTTCCTTTTTAACTTTATGTATTGATTCTGTATATGATGTCTTTCAAGGATCTTTGCTTTTCTGAAAGTTTAGATGGTCAGGTTCTTCTCCAACTTGCATTTTAAAGCCTCATAATAAAAAACTGATGGTCATCTAATTCTGGACATTACTTTAAGGAACAAGTCTCCTTTAAAAATGTTTAAACTAAATTTGGCTGTTACAATCAAATATTGTTTCATTTCCTTCTATTTTCCAAATTTCTCAAGTAGTTCCTGTGGCTGTGGATCCAATTTAAAATAATACTTCAGAATTGCTAGAATCTTAATACTTTACCATTATCACATCTGAAATGAGAGATAGAGTTGAATAGTACTTAAATTTATATATATATATATATATATATATATATATATATATATCCTTTATGGTACCTAAACTTTGTGAATCAAAGGCAGTAGTATATTGGCAGCAAGGTCTCATTATTTTACACTTGAAATGGTTCGATGTAACCATAAGTTCTATACTAACAGTTTCTTCTATTGCACTTCTCGCTTGTGGAACTTTCTTTTAGCTTCTTGCTTCCCAGTCAACTTTAATGTTCAAAAATTTAAATGCAATGTCAATTGTTATCTTCTGTCTTCTTAATTCTTGTTCTTTTATTGTTTTCTCTCCTTAATAGTGTTTTTTATCATATTCCCTAAGACTCAGTATCCACTCGCATCTTAGTGGCTTTATTGCCTACTTGGAGTAAAAGGATTAAATATATACATATTATTATGTATTATTTTAGTACCTATACTCTAGCAGTCTGAAAAAAACCCCGGATGAAACAATTTGTAAATAAAAATATATTTGAACAAACTGAAATTCAGCAAAAAAAGAAACAACTAAAGACATCCGTGTCGGTTGAAAATAATCAATCAACACCGCAATGCCTAGTCGAAAGAAAAAACACTGACAGAGTAAATTAAGTAAAAATGTAAAAGGTAGAGCAAAATCTAAAAAACCTAGTGAGCCAGAACCTTCCTAACAAGGTTTTCCCCTAATGGATTTTCAGTAGTACCCTGAAGTACCATTAGGTGAAACATTGTTAGGTAGGTTTCTTTTGTTTTATGGCATATCAACCTCAATGGGTTATTTAATGACAACAATTTTTTTTTTCCTGGTAATATTTTGTTTTATCAAAAATCTATTTCTGGTAATATTTTTTTTCCTCAGAAATGTGTAACTGGTAATATTATTTTCAAAAACATATTGCTGGTAATATTTTTTTTCAAAAAATATATTGCTGGTAATAGTTTTTTTTTCTTCAAAAATTTATTTCTGGTAATAATTTTTTTAAAAGTATTTCTAGTATTAAAATCTATTTTTACACTTTTATAATGCTTTTCACCTAAGTTTCGGGGTTAACTATTTGCCTATAGCTGGGACCCTAACAGGTGCTACCACTCTGGGTCAGGGTGGATCTGGGAATACCAGCAATTAAGAGGTGGTTCCACACTCCTCAAAACCTCCTGATCAGAGGCCTTGCTGTTGTATGTAGTTTATTGTCTTACCCTGGACATGGATGTAGTTTATCGTCATACCCAGGACGATTGTTAGGTAGGTTCTGGCTCACTAGGTTTTTTACATATATATATATATAGAGAGAGAGAGAGGAGTCATAAATGTTTACATGAAATAAGCTTTGGAATAAAGATTTGTAAAAAATGCAAAAATACTTTTGATATACTGTAATATATTTTGACAATGCAATTTCATATTTTAAAAATACTCTAATATATAAACTGCTATGGGTTGGGAATCAGTCAACTGCTAATCCCTAATAAAAAAAAATCTGAGTGAAGAAGAAAAGAGGAACCGTTCCATTTATTTCAATTTCATCTGTAGCCATCACTTCCATGATACTATCAAAGAATTTATAAGTATTAAAAAATATGAAGAATGAAAAATTTATCCAAGCACATGATATGTGCCTAGAGGATTGGCCACTAATTATTGATATTGTTACCAATGTAGCTTGTAAAATAAAAAAAAGAGTAATATAAGTGATGGTATAGTTACAAATTCTTGTAGTGGTGATAGAATTATTAGTAAGTATATTGGTGGTTATACTAGTACATATAGTAATAATAGTAGTGGTAGTAATAGTATTGGAATAATAATAGTAGCAACAGAAATGTTGTAGTGATAACCTGCTTGAAAATGGTGAGCCATCACAGAATAAACGCAGGTTATTAAAATGCCTTGCTCTAATTAGGGACATTGTAGTCAATCTCTGGATTATTTTCAATAGAGTTAATCACAATTCAGATCCTTTGAAGTGGTTCAATGAGTTCTTGTTACAGTCAAAGATGGGGGAAGTCTTGAATAGATGAAGGCTGTCTATACTTTTTTTTGGAAGTACAAGTTCCATATTCTGGTTTGTGAGGATTGGCTGTCTTCTCCAATGCCAAATAAAGAAAGCTAAAAAAAATATTTCTTTTTGAAAGGAAGATATGAAATGATGAGTGTTGACTGAAACTTGGATTAGTATAATGTGATTTGTTGTATTTTCAGTTGAATCTGAGCCAGTATTAATAGATTCATAGA